CGGTCCTGACCCGAGATAGCTGAGCTGTGTCGCAGCCCTGACCTCAGACAGCTGAGCTGTGCACGCCGTCGGCTCGGCCGTCAGGCGCCACAGCCGCTGACGCAAGTGTCCAAACAGCTCCAAACAATATCCGGCCCTGTATAGCAGGATAAGCCATCAGAGGCGGGAGTGATCAATGGAGAGACGCGAAACACTAACGCCAAGGGGATGACAACTGCTGAGGAATAAAGAAACTACATGCAGGTACACTGGGAACACGTCATGCTGGAGTTGACATGTTCCCAGCCCGTCCTGTACCATGCAGCCCGTTCCGGTGATCACTCCCGCCTCTGATGGCTTATCCTGCTATACAGGGCCGGATATTGTTTGGAGCTGTTTGGACACTGGCGTCAGCGGCTGTGGCGACTGACGGCCGAGCCGACGGCGTGCACAGCTCAGCTGTCTGAGGTCAGGGCTGCGACACAGCTCAGCTATCTCGGGTCAGGACCGTGACCCCCTATGAAAAGACCCAGAGAGGGATCTAACATCGGTGAGTCCCTGCTTAACCCTAACAATCCCTACTTTCTTCTCCGCGCTATAGAAAAACACATGCTAGTTATAAAAAACACATCCCTATCAACCAGTCCCAAACAGTGTACCAAATTTGAGCGCAATCGGCGTGGCAGTTCAGGGTTCAAGATATATGAGCAACCCAAAATCGCTACTGCAGCAGAATAACGAACACTCTTGGCCCTTCACGTCGCACGTGTCACGACGCTCACCATGATACATCAGTTGTAGTCAATAACGAGATGGAAGGGATAGGATTACGCGCAACAAAGAGTAACGCAGGTCAATCAGCCCAGCGGTTGCTGACTTACAAGCCTATTAAAAACGTTACAGGAATACGCTTCGCTAGCTCAAACGTAATAGAGTAGAATCATTACATATATGCAATTGCTACTATTTCCTGGTTTTCTTTATAGGCCAAGGCTTGGTAACTGATAACTCTGCTGCCCTGTAATGGGTCCGGCCCGCTGTGGCGAGTGAAGACACTCGCTCTGACTGACTGGACCGCCAGCCGAGACGCTGCTGACTCTGGTGGTGAATGGTGAGCGGAAGAGGAGAAAGTTTACGCCAAAGCTGAAGCAACTCTACATTGCTGTACAGCTAATACGCTTTTCACCTGGTGGCCAGTAGAGGAACTAACAGTTACTACAACTGACCGTCAGAAGCACCCAACACACACCGTGCCGCTCCCAGTAACATACCAGGATGTAGACCCCAGTCGGGCAGCGCTCCGGCGTCCGGCAGCCGCAGCTGGTCCAGCAGTGACAGCAGCCGGCCGGCGCTGCCCTCCGGCGCCGTCCGACAGGCGTTCACGGCCACCACCCTGACGGACAGACGTTACACGGTCAGCAGAGAGCCGACACTCGGTCAGCGGACAGTGGCGTTGGGTCACCGGATGGCAGAGCATCGCCGCAGCACACAGACCAGACAGGACTGTGCCGACAACGCAACCCCGTTGGAGTAACATGACCCTAAAATATGCACCGAAAATGCTCTGGTCTATCTCCATTATTTATAATAATAAAAAAATAAAAGAACAACTGAGATGAGGGAAAGGAGTGAGGCGTCTGTTAGGGTCCCCGTGCAATACGCCCGGTGCGGTGACTGACCTCTGCGCCGCTAGCTGGAGAGCTGGTTCACCCGGCTGACGACCTTCTGTACCTCCTCGGCGGAGAGCGGGTGGCCGTTGGTGGCCCGCCGCAGCCCGTCCCGGTAGCCGGCCGCCCCATCCGGCGACACGCCCTGGGGAGTCATAGCATAACACTCAGGCAGGTTCAGGTTTCAGTCCGACACACAGAACCGTCCGGCGACACGCCCTGGGGGCGACACATGGGCGCGCTCAGGGCTCAGGTACAGGTCTCGCGAGATTAAGCGGTAGGTTTTGCACTTTTACATTTCCGGTTATATCTCAGAAACTAATCGATCTACGATGAAGCCATTTTACACGATCATGGCCGGCTTATTACCCAACAAGTCGATCGCATCTTCAACACTTAAAAGCTTAAGACGACGAAGATATAACCTGAAGTACACTAAATTTTCTAGGTGCAAAACCTACCGCTAAAACCCGCGAGCCCTGTACCATGCAATTGCACAAGGGCGCCGGGTGCAGTGTCTGTGTGTCCCTGACTGACCTGCAGCGGTGACGCTGTCACAGAAAGCACCTGTTCATTGCCCAATGGATCCAGCCCAGTTCCGGCCGGCCGAGTGCCCGCACGTACGCAGCCAGTGTTACGGTCTGTGTTCGATCTATGTTACGGTCTGTGTTCAATCTATTTTACGCCCTGTGTAACGACCTGCGTTACGGCTTGTGTTACGGTCTGTGTTACATACCCTGTTCTGGGCGGTCTCCACCTTGACCCTCCTAGCGTCCCAGAGTCGGTACTGGTAGACGTGTGCGTTCTCTGCCGAGACGTCCCGCAGGTGAACGAGCAGGTTCTGTACGCCGACCAGCGTCTCAGCTGGCACCTGAGAAGGTCAGGGGAGGGTAGGGGAGGTCAGTGGTATACTGGTGTCTGACATAGACCAGCGGACAGGGGGGAGGGGAGAGGGAGAGGAGTCTGGTGGCGCAGTAGGACCGTTCCGCGCTTGAAAGTGGACACATCTGAGGACCGTTCCGCGCGCGCTGACACTGCCTCTAGAACCGTTCTGCGAGCAGTCAGACATGCAGACCGGATTGATGTTTTGAAACTTTGACATAATAAACTTTAATTAATTCGACACAGGTAGCCTAACCGCATGTGTTTTTTATATCGCGGACAAAAAAGTGGGGATTGTTAGGGTTAAGCAGGGAGTCACCGATGTTAGATCCCTCTCTGGGTCCTTTCATAGGTCACGGTCCTGACCCGAGATAGCTGAGCTGTGTCGCAGCCCTGACCTCAGACAGCTGAGCTGTGCACGCCGTCGGCTCGGCCGTCAGTCGCCACAGCCGCTGACGCCAGTGTCCAAACAGCTCCAAACAATATCCGGCCCTGTATAGCAGGATAAGCCATCAGAGGCGGGAGTGATCAATGGAGGGACGCGAAACACTAACGCCAAGGGGATGACAACTGCTGAGGAATAAAGAAACTACATGCAGGTACACTGGGAACACGTCATGCTAGAGTTGACGTGTTCCCAGCCCGTCCTGTACCATGCAACCCGTTCCGGTGATCACTCCCGCCTCTGATGGCTTATCCTGCTATACAGGGCCGGATATTGTTTGGAGCTATTTGGACACTGGCGTCAGCGGCTGTGGCGACTGACGGCCGAGCCGACGGCGTGCACAGCTCAGCTGTCTGAGGTCAGGGCTGCGACACAGCTCAGCTATCTCGGGTCAGGACCGTGACCCCTATGAAAAGACCCAGAGAGGGATCTAACATCGGTGACTCCCTGCTTAACCCTAACAATCCCTACTTTTTTCTCCGCGCTATAAAAAACACATGCGAGTTATAAAAAAACACATCCCTATCAACCAGTCCCTATCAACCAGTTACTTAATTCGACACAGGTACTCTAACCGCATGTGTTTTTTATATCGCGGACAAAAAAGTGGGGATTGTTAGGGTTAAGCAGGGAGTCACCGATGTTAGATCCCTTTCTGGGTCCTTTCATAGGTCACGGTCCTGACCCGAGATAGCTGAGCTGTGTCGCAGCCCTGACCTCAGACAGCTGAGCTGTGCACGCCGTCGGCTCGGCCGTCAGGCGCCACAGCCGCTGACGCAAGTGTCCAAACAGCTCCAAACAATATCCGGCCCTGTATAGCAGGATAAGCCATCAGAGGCGGGAGTGATCAATGGAGAGACGCGAAACACTAACGCCAAGGGGATGACAACTGCTGAGGAATAAAGAAACTACATGCAGGTACACTGGGAACACGTCACGCTGGAGTTGACATGTTCCCAGCCCGTCCTGTACCATGCAGCCCGTTCCGGTGATCACTCCCGCCTCTGATGGCTTATCCTGCTATACAGGGCCGGATATTGTTTGGAGCTGTTTGGACACTGGCGTCAGCGGCTGTGGCGACTGACGGCCGAGCCGACGGCGTGCACAGCTCAGCTGTCTGAGGTCAGGGCTGCGACACAGCTCAGCTATCTCGGGTCAGGACCGTGACCCCCTATGAAAAGACCCAGAGAGGGATCTAACATCGGTGAGTCCCTGCTTAACCCTAACAATCCCTACTTTCTTCTCCGCGCTATAGAAAAACACATGCGAGTTATAAAAAACACATCCCTATCAACCAGTCCCAAACAGTGTACCAAATTTGAGCGCAATCGGCGTGGCAGTTCAGGGTTCAAGATATATGAGCAACCCAAAATCGCTACTGCAGCAGAATAACGAACACTCTTGGCCCTTCACGTCGCACGTGTCACGATGCTCACCATGATACATCAGTTGTAGTCAATAACTCACCAAGATACATCAGTTGTATTCAATAACGAGATGGAAGGGATAGGATTACGCGCAACAAAGAGTAACGCAGGTCAATCAGCCCAGCGGTTGCTGACTTACAAGCCTATTAAAAACGTTACAGGAATACGCTTCGCTAGCTCAAACGTAATAGAGTAGAATCATTACATATATGCAATTGCTACTATTTCCTGGTTTTCTTTATAGGCCAAGGCTTGGTAACTGATAACTCTGCTGCCCTGTAATGGGTCCGGCCCGCTGTGGCGAGTGAAGACACTCGCTCTGACTGACTGGACCGCCAGCCGAGACGCTGCTGACTCTGGTGGTAAATGGTGAGCGGAAGAGGAGAAAGTTTACGCCAAAGCTGAAGCAACTCTACATTGCTGTACAGCTAATACGCTTTTCACCTGGTGGCCAGTAGAGGAACTAACAGTTACTACAACTGACCGTCAGAAGCACCCAACACACACCGTGCCGCTCCCAGTAACATACCAGGATGTAGACCCCAGTCGGGCAGCGCTCCGGCGTCCGGCAGCCGCAGCTGGTCCAGCAGTGACAGCAGCCGGCCGGCGCTGCCCTCCGGCGCCGTCCGACAGGCGTTCACGGCCACCACCCTGACGGACAGACGTTACACGGTCAGCAGAGAGCCGACACTCGGTCAGCGGACAGTGGCGTTGGGTCACCGGATGGCAGAGCATCGCCGCAGCAGACCGACCAGACAGGACTGTGCCGACAACGCAACCCCGTTGGAGTAACATGACCCTAATATATGCACCGAAAATGCTCTGGTCTATCTCCATTATTTATAATAATAAAAAAAAGAACAACTGAGATGAGGGAAAGGAGTGAGGCGTCTGTTAGGGTCCCCGTGCAATACGCCCGGTGCGGTGACTGACCTCTGCGCCGCTAGCTGGAGAGCTGGTTCACCCGGCTGACGACCTTCTGTACCTCCTCGGCGGAGAGCGGGTGGCCGTCGGTGGCCCGACGCAGCCCGTAACGGTAGCCGGCCGCCCCATCCGGCGACACGCCCTGGGGAGTCATAGCATAACACTCAGGCAGGTTCAGGTTTCAGTCCGACACACAGAACCGTCCGGCGACACGCCCTGGGGGCGACACATGGGCGCGCTCAGGGCTCAGGTACAGGTCTCGCGAGATTAAGCGGTAGGTTTTGCACTTTTACATTTCCGGTTATATCTCAGAAACTAATCGATCTACGATGAAGCCATTTTACACGATCATGGCCGGCTTGTTACCCAACAAGTCGATCGCATCTTCAACACTTAAAAGCTTAAGACGACGAAGATATAACCTGAAGTACACTTAATTTTCTAGGTGCAAAACCTACCGCTAAAACCCCGAGCCCTGTACCATGCACAAGGGCGCCGGGTGCAGTGTCTGTGTGTCCCTGACTGACCTGCAGCGGTGACGCTGTCACAGAAAGCACCTGTTCATTGCCCAATAGATCCAGCCCAGTTCCGGCCGGCCGAGTGCCCGCACGTACGCAGCCAGTGTTACGGTCTGTGTTCGATCTATGTTACGGTCTGTGTTCAATCTATTTTACGCCCTGTGTAACGACCTGCGTTACGGCTTGTGTTACGGTCTGTGTTACATACCCTGTTCTGGGCGGTCTCCACCTTGACCCTCCTAGCGTCCCAGAGTCGGTACTGGTAGACGTGTGCGTTCTCAGCCGAGACGTCCCGCAGGTGAACGAGGAGGTTCTGTAGGCCGACCAGCGTCTCAGCTGGCACCTGAGAAGGTCAGGGGAGGGTAGGGGAGGTCAGTGGTATACTGGTGTCTGACATAGACCAGCGGACAGGGGGGAGGGGAGAGGGAGAGGAGTCTGGTGGCGCAGTAGGACCGTTCCGCGCTTGAAAGTGGACACATCTGAGGACCGTTCCGCGCGCGCTGTCACTGCCTCTAGAACCGTTCTGCGAGCAGTCAGACATGCAGACCGGATTGATGTTTTGAAACTTTGACATAATAAACTTTAATTAATTCGACACAGGTAGCCTAACCGCATGTGTTTTTTATATCGCGGACAAAAAAGTGGGGATTGTTAGGGTTAAGCAGGGAGTCACCGATGTTAGATCCCTCTCTGGGTCCTTTCATAGGTCACGGTCCTGACCCGAGATAGCTGAGCTGTGTCGCAGCCCTGACCTCAGACAGCTGAGCTGTGCACGCCGTCGGCTCGGCCGTCAGTCGCCACAGCCGCTGACGCCAGTGTCCAAACAGCTCCAAACAATATCCGGCCCTGTATAGCAGGATAAGCCATCAGAGGCAGGAGTGATCAATGGAGGGACGCGAAACACTAACGCCAAGGGGATGACAACTGCTGAGGAATAAAGAAACTACATGCAGGTACACTGGGAACACGTCATGCTGGAGTTGACGTGTTCCTAGCCCTCCTGTACCATGCAGCCCGTTCCGGTGATCACTCCCGCGGGCCGGATATTGTTGGGAGCTGTTGGACACTGGCGTCAGCGGCTGTGGCGACTGACGGCCGAGCCGACGGCGTGCACAGCTCAGCTGTCTGAGGTCAGGGCTGCGACACAGCTCAGCTATCTCGGGTTAGGACCGTGACCCCCTATGAAAAGACCCAGAGAGGGATCTAACATCGCTGAGTCCCTGCTTAACCCTAACAATCCCCTTTTTTCTCCGGGCTATAAAAAAAACACATGCGAGTTCTACAAAACAATCC